AATTATCTATAGATTTTTCCAAGACTGTAAGTGAACTAAACATTCAGCTGTCACATAAAGAAAAAAATCCTATTTTTCTTTCCCTCCAGAACCACACAGGTCACCTGGACATGGGTCACTACACAGCTGTCTGCTACAACTCGCTGCTGGGGATGTGGCACTGCTTTGATGACGCTCTCGTCAGGGAGGTGCAAGAGAAACTCGTACAGTCTCCAAATGCTTATGTTCTGTTCTACATGCATAAGCCATTCTATAAACCAAAGATCCAGGGACTCTGAGCTCTCCATTCTGAGGGAAGCATAAAAAGCTCATAAATATTTGCTTGTTGTCCGGCAGGTCCCCATAGGATGAAAAAAATAAAAATGAAAAATACAAGGGTCAACTGTAATGAATGGTCCACATTCTAACCAGGTTCAAACTGACAAAGAAGCAGAGTTCATTTGAAGCAGGTTTAATAAATAGTCATACAAGTTATTCTGAGGTTAATATAGTTATGTTAAATGATCGGTATTTAGAGCATTGATAAGAAAAGAATGAATAAAAGACAAAAATGATAAGTTTATGCTAGGCCATAAAAGTTTACTTAGCAGTAGATAAATCCTTCAAATCCAAATCTTTGCTCCATTTAGAAGCAAAATCAGTCTCATTTGTCATTTCTCCCATAAATCCTTTGGTCGGCCAGACAAGCAGCCGAAGCTGACGATGAGATCCAGTCTTCATGTCATCAGGCTCAGTAAACAACAAACAAAATCTTAGAAATTAAATAAAAAATACCATCTATCCCAGCATGTCTCCCTCTTAATAGTGTTTGATTATGACAAATCTGAAGGTGATTATGATAAATCGGAGTAGACATAAGATCCCAGGATCAGCATCCATTGAAAGAATTCTGGGATGGAAACACAGGTCAGTTGTTAAAGAGTGTGTTCTACATAAACAACTTAAAGCGATCGCATTTTGAATGTGCAAAAATGTGGCTAATATGAACAAGCAACAGGCAAATTTCCCTCGAAAAAAAAAAAAACAACAACCCCAAAACAAACAGGAAAAGAAAATCCCACTGTCTCCCTTCACAGGTTATACAGTCAGAGCCATAAAGCACATGGTCTGTTCTCATTTATATGGTCCTTTTTAACTAGTTGCTACCTTTAAGAAGAAGAAAAAAAAAAAGAATTTGGTCGATAGACAAAACCTGAAATAATTCACAGAAGCGTAGCTAAGAATGTACATGCCATTGAACTCCTAGCCCTGCATACGCTTTTGCTGCCATCGGTACAGAGTACAACAGAAAGGAAGGAATCAGCCGTGAAACGGAACTATGGTAAAGAAGTCAGATTAGCATTGATTTAGTCTCTGGATGATCAGTAATGTTTACAGGCAGCATCATTTTAGCTAAAAGGTCCTCTAGTAGCTGAAGCATTGCACAGTGTGCCTCCACCTTCACCAATCACTCCCACACCAGGTTCTCAAAGTCCCTGGGTCGTCCCCTCACCGTCAACATACATGACCGATCACCCTCAACTAATGTGCGCCGGCATCTTCGCAGAGCTGAGATTTTGTAAAGAAAACAACCTCTAGGCTTAAGCGAAGCTGCGTGGTGTTTATTTTCTGCCATTTGTCTCCCAGCACCGTCACAGAGTGGAGTAAAACAGGATGTAGGCTGCGGAAGACTTGACTGAAGACGAGGAGATTTCAGTCACTTCGTGGTCATCGAATTTGTACCAGCGCTGTTTGAGGGAGTTCTTGCAATAGGCAGTGTAGTGGCCGCCGTCTAAGCCACCGTAGTGATTCTGCAGCAGAGGAAAGAAAGGTTCATTTAATGCTCATGGAAACCCTAAAGCAGTTAGGTGTCATTGCTACTTACAGAAACTCCATAAAGGTTGTATCTCTTTAGGGTCTGCTTAGGTCCAATAACATACTGAGCCAGGTCCAGGCCATCTAGAGGAAAATCTACAGATGTTTGTAGCTTTTGCTTCCATCTACCTTCATAAGAGAACCTGCAGAAATAAAACCCATCATAGACAGTGACAAATAGATTTAGGGTAAATTTCTTAAACGCCTTCAAAAAGTTCAGCTCCGGTAGCATCTACGGACCGTTTCAAGTGCACCAGGACGATAGGAGGAACCTTCCAGATCTCCAGCTTCTTGGTGGAATCTCTGTGAGCTTTGCAGTGTCTGCAGAACACCTTGTTGTTGTCTGTGAGTTTTTCTTCTTTAGAGAATAATCTCAGACAGTCCTGTCAACAAATCCATTAAAAAAGAAAAATCAATCTCAAAATGCAAGACATCTTAGGTTTATTTTTCCCGTTTACAATTTACAACCAGCATTTTTTTTTACCCACAGATTCCTTTTTTGCCTCATTCCACTTTCATCTCGTAACTCTGAACAAACCATTTTGTATCCATGGACTAACACAGGGTCTGACAAATAATGTGTTGCAAGAAAGCATTTTATGGAATTAATAACATAAATGCTTATAAAACAATCCTTAATATTCTAAACCCACTCATAATTTAATCCATATTTCCAAAACGTTTTTTGTGCTCCGGAAAACCGCACTGCACAGGAAAGAACACTAGGTGGCAGCATTGTAATTTGTGAAGTCATAAATACTTCCAATCGCCTCATTTTCAGACTAGGAAGTTTACATTTTTTCACAAGTTAAATGATTCATCTAAGCTAACAAACAAATATTAATAAGAGGAAAATGTACGCTTTGTATTGACCTGAGATCCTACAGACAAAAGAAGTCTTCACCATTCAGTAGATTTTGAGAACTCCTATTGTATATTGTCAATTAAAGATGCAAACTCCAATAAAAAAAGTATTTAAGACATACATTTAAGGCGTGACCTACCTGCAGGGAGCACTTGCTGGTGGAGGCCAGAGGCAGCGACAGGTACATGAAGGTCTCAAATGTGCGTGACTTGCGGTGGCAGGTCAGACACTGCACCGTGGACTTGAACTGGCCCTGGAACAGAGCTACGATGATGGATTCATTCAGCAACTTGTGTTTGCTCCAGGCCAGGTTTGCTGCGGTCTGGTCGTCCAGATGGTCGTTTTCTTCCTCCTTGTAACGCTTCCTGTTGTCGGCCTGAAAACAGATATGCGAGAAAAGAAAGCTATATAGTTATAAACAAGATTTGTAAGGAAAACACCCTCCTGGTTCAATTAAAGCTGATGGAAAAGACCCGATGGACTTGTTGCTTCTATAGTATATTATTAAACACTGCCTGGCCAAAAATACAATTAGCCCATCTAATTAATCAATCAGGTAAAAGTGCTCCTGCTTATTTCTCAAAATTATCATCTCTCAGATTAACACTGATTGAAACATGATGATAATGGGTGAATTTCCTGAGTTAATAGGAATGAAGGAAGCATAAATAATCAAATTCACATATAAATTAAACACAACTATGTCCACACCTTTACTAGATTATTGTCCTTTGGGATTTGCTGGAGAGCTAACATCATGAATGCCACATCTGCATGGAAATAAGCGTAAGCAAAGTGAAACGGGTTCATGTTGACAGCAGGGTTCATGTTTTGGTTGGGCAGTGTGCATGAGCTCCATCAGCATGCAGATCAACAACTCAGAGAGGCAGGGAAATATACGGTGCCTTGCAGAAGTTTTCACACCTTTTGAACTCTTTACATTTTGTGACACAAACATACATTTTTATTATTTTTTTTGACATTTTATATAAATCAAGGTAGTTTAGAAATGAATCCTAGAGTGAAGATATTGTTCTTATCCTTTTAATAAATAAAAATGAGAAAAGTCTTGTATTCATTTGTATTCTTTTTTTTACTGTGATGTTTAAATAAAATTCAATGCAATCAAATGGGCTCAAAAATGATTGAATAAGAAAATGAAAGTTAATCTATATGAACGTTAAATAATAAACGACGCTCATTCAAAAGGGCGTCGTCCGTTTCAATTTGCATGTTGTCTAAGCAAAAACAAGGCTTTGTTGGGCTACTGTATAAAGCAACTCAATGCTATTTCTGACATTTGAATTGATAAAGCTTCCTGGATGGGGAGCGAAACGTTTTCAAACTTGGAAACAAAGTCCAGTGGATTGTTTTTAAACTTTTTTGGAAAGTTAAGTAATAAATGATCAAATTGCTTTGTGAAAGCCTTGGAAGAACATAGATGAGCTATAAGCCTACAAAGATATAATGGATCCATTCAGACGTGCAGCCAAAAGGCCCAAACTAACACAAGGTAAAACGAAGAAATTTGGTTGTTGAATTATTGATTGCAAGAAAGAATTCCCATCTGCCAGGTAGAAACATGAGGGAAGTGATCAGATTCAATGTTCTTCTTCCACTTTATAGTTTTTCACCATTTTATCACATAAAACTCCCATAATATACATGAAAGTTGCTGAATGATATTCTACTAAACATAAAGAGGTCAACAATTATTAGTACTTTTGCAAGGCGGTTCGGGTGGCAGATTGTTTATATAATCATCAAAAAAAGGTGAACATCTGGAAAAAGGCTAAATGGGCTCTGGAGTGAATCATGAAGATGGCAGAGGGGTCAAATAATCATGCTAAAGGAATGGGATATAATGGAGATTGGGTTATGAGAAATTAACTCCAGTAGCTGCTCCCTACTTTCATCTTCTCAATCAAACTTCAAAATTCAACTAGGAACAAGTCTATGCAAATATCAAGCCATGCATGATTAATGAAGTGAAAAAAAACAGGTTTAGGGACAAAGATACCGAATTCCTTTTGTAAAACTTCAATATTTTTTTTTTCTGTTTGAACAAACATGAAGCAATTAGCATTTAGCATGCACAGAGGTTCTGAAGGAGCGTCAAACCGGACAGATGCAGACATGGCACATTCACACTCCTGCAGGACCAAAAACACACAACTATTTACTTACTCTCTAAATTATCATCAAAATGAGACTCAGTGAAAAACACAAAAAAAAAAATATATACAGAAAGAACAAAAAACACATTTTAAGCCGGTTCCAGGAAGACTAACAAAATATATTTTTTTATTGCTTAAGCTGTTGTTGACTCATCTTTCTGTTTACGTTTTCATAAACCAAACCAGAGGCCGTTTCCAGTATCAAGTATAAGTTTGTGCTCTACCTTGTTGAGGTCTTCATGGAGCCCATCCATGAGGAACAGAAGCAGCTCCTGGGAGTCCTGCTGGTCATAGCCTGCAAACTGATCATTGATCTTTCCTATGGTGTTCTTGAAATCCCGCGGACTGATGCACTTGTACAGACCGGCCCACAGGGCTTTCATGATTACTCCAAACTCCTCTGCAACCTCCCCTTTATGGCCAAGGATGTTAGACCTGGCAGAGAGAGGAAACAGGGATAAACTCAAAGCACTTTACACTGGATAGCGTAGTTCCAACTGTTCAAGACCTCACCTGTTGATGTCGCTAAGGTAGCCGTTGTTATTAAAGTACTCAGCCATGCCAGGAGTGTTGCAGAGACACTGCAGGATGGAGTTCATATAGCAGGTGTTCCCCAGGTTACGCAGACCAGTAAGCGACGCACCTAAACCTCCAAATGAAGGATTCAGGTTGCGAATCTTTGCAGCAGATGGACGCACACTCTCCACTTTAGAATAAACCTTTACAGTGGGAGGTCTGGAAGCACAGAGAAAGGTTATTTTACCAGAGCAGAGCCTATGTTACACTGTAAAAACAAGAGAAAGCCTAGATTATAATTTTTATGTGAGATTCCCCCTTATCAGGTTTGAGTCAATTTGCACTCTTCATTCCATATTGTGTGGCAAACAGTCATAGCCGACGCAAAGATAACTCAAAGCTTTAAAGCCATGCATGAAACCACCAGGGAATTCTATCTGATCTTAGAAACCAAAAATTTTACTTAAAAAAAATTCCTAAAATAACAGGAACATAAACATAAAAGAAAATGATAATTTTTACATTTTGCAAGTTGAAAACTGGTCAAATTTAATCCAAACACGATAAAATGATTTATCTTAATCAACAAAATAACCGAAAACTACAAACCTCATGTTGAAAAATTTCAAGTCTGCTTCACAAAAAGCAAATTTTAGCACAAACAGATCAAGACAGATTCAATATCTAGTCATACGGAAGCCGAGAGCGATCGTGTCCCTTCGATACTTTTTCACTGTGGTTTTCTCAAGAAAATTAGTTAACTTTGTCATTATTTAAGGATAACAAAAACGAGTTTCTCGTGATAACGAGATTATAATAAAGACAACAGAAGCAGTCTTCTTGTCATAACGAGATGATTGGTGTGTGTTAAAACTGATTACATCCTTCAATACCATGGCAGCAGGAGAGGATTTATAAGTATAAAGGGCAGATTATACTTCTGCTCGCTTGGGTCTCTTAGGTCTGGTCGCGAACCAGTTTTGCTGGTATGCTTCTGCACCGTTGGTCTGGAATTTCTAGGGACGCACAGCATTTTCCAGCAATAGCGCAAGGGGGAGCGTATTCGAGAACTCGCAAGAACTTCTTTGGCAGCGCCGGCGGGGTTGTTTAATTTCTAAAACAACATGTCTGAGGCATCAAACAAGTGGTTGTACTTCCTAACCTCCTCGATCAACCTTTCATCGTGGTTATCCATTGTTGTTATTACTCCACTGTTTTTAAAAAATGGCGCGCCCCGGAACTGAATCGAGAAGGATGACCACACAGACAGCCGGAAAGGCATACCAAGGACCAATCACAGCTGCAGCAATTCTGCTTGAGGTCTGCGCGGATTTGCAACCGTCCGACGCGTAGTGAGGATTTATTTGAGGTGCGCGTCAACGGTTGCAAAACCTCAACGCGGGGGGCGTGGTCGCGCACAGAGACAGATTTGACGGTTGCAGAGGCAATGCCCCAGAAGTTATGGCAGCCTAAGTGTAATTCTGTAAATAATCCTGTGTTTAACTTTTAGGTAATGAGACGACGTTGGTTTGATAATTTGCTTTCGCTTCTGATTCATAAGTATTTAAACCTATGTCTCTGGCACCTTAACGCCGATGTTTTCTGTACAGCCCCGGTGTTACGCCTGAAAGAGCTATAAGATGCATTAACCCCCAAAATGAGTCCAGATTAAAGATTTTTATTAAAGAACAGTCAGATTTGTTTCTACTTTATTCCATGCAATCCAATCATCCACCACGACCTGAAAACGAGTGAAAAGAAAGAGGAACCGCAGGCATGGATGTATTGGGAATCCAGGGCTGTTGGCCAGCCTCATTCATTATTCATGCAGGTTAATCATCTTATTATCTCAAGAAGTCAACTGTTCTCTCGTGATAACGAGGTAATTATCTTGTTATCTCGAGAAAACAATTAATGGTTTAACCATGATAACAAGTTAGTTAGGTCATTATCTCGAGAAGGCAAAGGAAAAAAAGTTAAGTGTGACCGCTCTGAGCGTTTATACTAGTCATGAGAGAATGCAGTTAAAAAGTTTTCAACTAGAGAAGTAGAGCCAGAAAGAGACTAATATGAAAACTGATTCTGACGTGTAAATCTGAACTAAAATAATCTGTTACACAAAGATCAACAAACTAAGAGGCAATTCTAATGGAACCTCTATCCATCCCAAATCAAATGGGCACTAGGGCCTTGTAGTAATGGTTGGAAAGATGAGCAGAAATGTCTAAACTTACTTGGTCTCTCTGTTGATGGTGGGTATGACAGCAGCGGTGGAGGGGGTGGTGGCCTTTTTCTGTGTCTCCTCTCGCAATTCCTGGCTAATGTCCGGAGAAGAGTAGGAGCGTTTCAGCTTAGACTGTTCCCGCTCTCGCTCGTTGCTTGTGTCGGGCTCAGCGGGCCTCTGTGACCTTGGTTTGGGGGTTGGCGGGGTGGAGGGTGGGGTCTGAGGGACGGTGACCTCGGGGGGGTAAAGGTGGACGCGGTTTGTAGGGGAGTGGTAGTATCTGTAGGTACCCGTCACTGTGTCCAGGAACTAAACAGAAATGGGAATAAACATTTTTCAAAAAGTTCCTCAGTTCAAACATAAATGTCTTATTATTTAAATAGAAATTTTAATTGACGTCATATTTGAACTATGACTATAAGATACCTTCATCCAGCCATCAGGGAGGCCTGGCACACTCCTACCCATTTCCTCACTCCTTGCCCTGGTCAGAGGCTCCCTCTGTGAAGCAAACACAACATTCACATACATGTTGAGTTTTAAATCGGTTTCTTTGTTATTTAAAAAAGAAAGTCGTTTTAATTCTAGATCTAATGATGTATAGATTTGGTTTTGTTGATCACAAAAAACAAAAACATTACTTAATTCAATAAAAACATTCATCCATTTTGTCAAAAATAAACATTTTGATCATTTTCAACAATTGTAATTGTGGTTTTGTATGTAGATGTTTCACACCAGAGTCATTTTCTTCAAAACTTTGAGAGCCAAAAGCTTGTTGCAGGTCTTTACAGTAACCTATGTGAGGAAAAACTCTTACTTCTACTATCACGCATGGATCTGCATGCTAGCTGCAAGTCTCTCCTCCCTTCTTTGTGGCAGCAAACCTACTTGAAGTGTATGATGCCACCTAAAGGGCTGGAGTTAGAAATATAGCTTCTCACTCTTGTTGAATATAATGTGGCAAACATTCAGTGCGTCAAACATTGCAATATATTGTAAATGCAATTAATTGCCAATTAGTTTCAAATGAGAATTGCAATGAACCCGAGTGCCATTATTCAGAATTTAAGAACATTTGGAACAATGGATGATCCTCTTGAAGGGATGCCAGCCGATCAAAATTACTTGAAAATGTCCCCATGACTTATCCTGGAAGTCACAAAATCTAACTTCATCAGTGAGGGTAAGTATTATGATTAAACTAAAAAGGAATGGGCTAATATGGTCTCAATAGTAGTGTGATGCATGAGCCTGTGTTCCATGTACTATCTAGATGCTAATTCAATAAAACACAAAGTTTACTCTCTACTAGAAAATCCTAAAGAACACCGTTAGGTTCATGACCTCAACGCCAACCCAATTTGGATTATGCAGAAGAACAACGATTTAACAATTCTATCTTGGAACACCTCAAATGAAACGTTATAAAGGTTTTAAAATGGCCAAGTCAATATCTTGACTGAAATCTATGAGAATAATATATCTATTAAATGATTCATAAGCAGATAGCAAAAGGTTCCTTAAAGAATATATTTTTTTACAGAATTAAACCAGGTGAAACTCAAACTTTTCCACTTGAGGAGTTCTGGATAGAGCAGTTTGTAAGACGAAAACATTTAACATATTTTTTTTAACACTTTTCATATAGTGTAATTACTGCTCTAGGTGGGTCACTATGTCAGCTAAAGACATATTTTACAGTCTCTATACTCCAGAGACACCAAACTAGTTGACAATTATTTCAATAATCGATCAATCACAGTTAATCCAATTGTTTCAGCCCTAGTTGACATTCTTTACCATGGCATGTAAACTTGTTATTTTTACTTGAAAACCCTCCAATGAGGCTGAGTTGAAACAGTCCTGCAAATAGGAGTGGGTCAAAATGCTTCTAGAGAGACAAAAGAATAATTATAATTACTTAAAATGATACGTTTCTATAACCCAGAGTCAGGTGGATTTGGGCAGCTTTACCCAGGACAAAAAAAGAAATTTAAACATTCCTATTATTCAGCCTTTCCTTTGCATATGAATCAGCAAACCTGAACTTTAGAGCATAAAGAGTCTCACCTTGATTTCAGTGACGATGTGGTTGGGAGCCGGAGAATCCAGAGACATGCTCTTCGAAGGCGTGTCAGGGTTTTGTTCTTTCCCCCTCCTCTCACCGTCATTGCACACTTTGTTCTCCTTGTCTTCCTCTTCCTCTGCCTTCTGCCTTTCCAGTTTCTTCTTCTCCTGATGTCGTTTTTCCTCATCTTCCTTCTTCCTCCTTTCGCTCTCCTCCCTTTCCTTCAGCTCCTTCTCCTTCAGTTCCTTCTCCTGCCTCTCCTCTTCCAAACGACGCTCCTGGTTCCGTTTTTCCTGTTCCTTCCTCGCCTTCTCCATCACTGCCACCGCCTCGGAGTGTATCTGCTGTTGTTCGTCTTTGGACAGAGAATTGCTGGGGATGAGTGGAGGTTTAGCAGAGCGATCAGGGATAATTGGGCCGTTCTGAGTGAAATCTTTCGCAGACCGGTTCTGACTGGTCTTGGTTTGATCAGCGGGTTTCTTGGCTCGGTCAAACTGAAAAGAAAACAACTAATGAGGACTAATTGAACAAACATATATTTCTGAAAATAAAAGCTAGATCGTTAAATTACCTGGGGGAACATTCTGGCTGTAGCAGGCGATTGACTGGCTGCAGGGTCTGACCCAGAATTTGTCAAGCCTGTAACAGGGATGTCTACAGCGTCTGGGAACCTGTCAGCAATCATGGAGGTTTTGGATTTTGGCGGCTCAGCAGGTGAGACTCCATTCACCAGAGCAGGAGCTGGTGATTCTTGAGGCTCAGAAGAAATCTCCGGCTCAGGTGGAGTCGGGGGCTTCGGTTCCTCCAAAGATGGGTAACTGAAGTTCACTGTTTGAAACGTGAAATTTAAACATATTTAAACAATAAAAATAAAAACACCACACTGTTTTAGCTTTTATAGATTTTCTTTAGTCCACCAAGATTGTTACAGAGAAAACCAACCTGGTTGTTAATCAAAGAACCAGATTGGTTTTCCATAATTAGGGATCCAGTCAATACGTCTTATCCAGTAAATGTTTGATCATCTGCTTTGTTTTATATTTTGTTGCAGATGACAGTGAGAGGAGATAATTTAACCACAAAACACTTAATCTCAGTATCTCTGCAAAGTCCATCCATCCATCCACTTCTTCTGTTTATCCGGTGTCGGGTCGTGGGGGTAGCAGCTTCAGTAGGGAGGCCCAGACGTCCCTCTCCCCAACCACTTGGGCCAACTCCTCCGGGGGAATCCCAAGGCTTTCCAAGGCCAGCCGAGAAACAAAGTCTCTCCAGCGTGTCCTGGGTCTCCTCCTGGTGGGACGTGCCTGGAACACCTCACCAGGGAGACATCCAGGAGGCATCCTAACCAGATGCCCGAGCCACCTCAACTGGCTCCTCTCGATGTGGACGAGCAGCGGCTCTACTCCAAGTCCCCCCCGGATGACTGAGCTCCTCACCCTATCTCTAAGGGAGAGCCCAGACACACTACGGAGAAAACTCATTTCAGCCGCTTGTGAACGGGATCTCATTCTTTCACTCATGAACCAAAGCTCATGACCATAGATGAGGGTGGGAACGTAGATCGACCGGTAAATTGAGAGCTTTGCCTTTTGACTCAGCTTTCTCTTCACCACAACAGACCGCAGCGCACGCTTCACAGCAGACGCCCCACCAATCCGCCCATCGATCTCCCGCTCCATCTTCATCTCATTCAGGAACAAGACCCCAAGATGCTTTAACTCCTCCACTAGGGGCAGCACATCCTCCCCAACCCGGAGAAGGTACTCTACCCTTTTCCGACTCAAGACAATGGTCTGGAGTCATGATCTCTGCAAAGTGATGTCTGAATATCACAGCCTTTTACTAATTACTGGTGGTTCAAAGACGTTCCAGTGTTTTCTATGCTTCATAATCCTATTGATCTGATCTCTGATCAGTAGCAATTCAAGATTACTAACACAGTACATTTAATAACAACTGGCATCAGCCAAAGTGCTGCACACACATGAAAACAATATTGCTAATTCAACAAACACAAATACTATACATAATGGGAGGAAAAGAATTTCATGCTGTAAGAAATCCCAGAGATTGTGTTTTTTATGTTGGCTCTTAAAACATAATCCATAACTCAAAGTTGAAGCCTGTCTACACACAACTGGACATTAGAGCCACGAGGGGGCAAATAAGACTGCAAGAGACCAGACAAATATGCTGTTGCCTTCCCATTTAGAGCCTTATAGGTCAACAATAAAACCTTCAAATCAAATTAAAGAATACAAGGAACCAACAAAGACAAACAAGCACTGGTGAGATATGTCCAGGCTTTTTTGTTTGTGATAAAAGACAAGCTGCTGTGATCTGAACCAGCTGCAGCCATGACAGGCTGGCCTGGCCAACACCAACATACAAAAAACAGCAGTTATCAAGTTGAGAAGTAATGAAAGCATGAATCCCACATTAAAATTTATTCACTTTGGGCAAAATTCTCAATTTAAAAAATCTTTTTATGACAAAACTAATCTGTTTCTAAAGGCCAGAATCAAGAATTACTACAAGATTTTTCATGTGAGATTTTACAAAATGCTAGAGACATCAGAAGAAGCAGTTAAACCAATTAAAAAACACACATACACAAGCCTCTCATATATAGATTTAATATTTAAAGATTCTTTAGAATTAACACTCAATTCTGCTAATTTCTTTAAATGCCTGTTTTCAAAACAGTAAGTTATGGACAATACACTAAACCAACAGGTGGAAATGTTAGAGTAAAGCTTATTTAACTTATTATTTGTAAAAGCAGATTCACACATGGGCGGGTTATACTCACACTGAGGAAGGCTGTTGGTAATAGTTTGCCTCGGGGGTCGGACTTTAGCGTTGGTCGTGTACATTGGGTAAAACAGCAGCCAGTTCTCATAGCCCCCCTCCAGTATCAGTGGCTCACTACGCATAATGGTTAGGCTGTCCCACTGTAAAGTGTTTATAAAAACACTGGTATTAATCTGAAACTTTTTCTGTTTCATGCATAAATGACAGACACACAATGCAGCAAAGACATACTTACCTTATAAATGGCATCTTTTAGACTTTGCAAGGTGGTGCCTAACTTAAGGTCAGAGGCAGAATTAAACCAGTCCAGCAGGACCACATAATCCACCAAACCTCGCCTCTTCCAGTGATCTTTGGATCCGTCGGGCAACTTTGCCTCAATCTGATTCACAGTGATTCTGAAAAGTTTTTTTGGGGAAAAAAAAAAACAGGTTAAGACGTCAGACCGAAAGAAAAAAAAAAGTTAAATACAAAAAAGAAAAGAAAGATAGAACAGAAATCAAACTATACATGGTCCTATTATATCAGTTCGCAAAACCTTTGGAATGGATTGGTTCCCTCTGGACAGCGGCTGGAGATCAACAGTTTTGAGTGATTTGTGTCAAATACTCAAGAGAGGCAGACAATGCAAATGTTAAAGTTTATGACTGTTGAATCAATGGCAGATGGGCATTACAGGGATTTCCATG